TTGCAATATACAATTTATACAAAATACACAATATATTTGATCATAATATGCATAACTATATACTATTTATTTAAAAAAGGCTTACATAAAAGAACAGGCTTTTGTGTTGATAAATAATAATCAGTCCAACGTTGCATAACAAAGAGAGATAAGCTACTATTCTTATTTTGAATGGCTTACTCCAAGTAATACTGGATTTAGAGGGTGACAAAGCAGCAGACCCAAAAGGGCAACTATGGCAAATATACCAGGGGACTACATACAAGGCACTTAAAGATCCGTAAAAGCATGTGACATCAAAATACATTGAAATTACCTAAAAAACTGAAAATATTCAGATGGCTTTTCAGGCTGGCTTTCAGACTCACTGAATGGTATTCAGATTCAGCAGTGGCACAGGAATAATTATTTCATAATGTCTCGGAAAGCAGTGATAAAGGAGCAGTCAGTAACTTCAAATGGACCTGTTAAAGGACCTTTTTATTACTTAAACAGTAGCAAAAGGATGGGAAAATGCTATCAGGCTGTAATGATACTATAGAGATGAGATTAGGTATTATTCAAAGAGTGCAAGACAACAGGGCAAACTGGATATAGTCTTTATAATAGTTCATAAGTTTAACATAGGCATGTCCAGGAGATTCTCAAAAGTCAACTCATTTATTCATAACAGCTCTCAAGTAATTTCAGGAACCAGTGGGTGAAGACATAAACCAAAACTCAAGACAGGTAAGTATTCACTGGCTAGTGTCAACATCTCATTGGATTAGAACAGAACTCAAGACAGGTAAGTATTCACTGGGTAATATAATCTTCCACCGAAGCATTCTGCATTTGTGTGGCAAGTGCTGGAAAGTCCTGCCAAACAGCTCTGACAGTGCTGAAACTGCTGGCAATCCAGCGAATGGAGAAAATTTGCCCAATCTTCAGCAGTGAGATGTTAACATGAGTGGCAGCATCATGGAGCAGTCTGGCATTTTTTTGGAGATTGGTGGTAAAACGTATACAACTTTGAAATGAAGATCTCAAAGTGGTTACATCCAGTTACAGACTTGCATGCATCGTGCACTGCCAACTCTAGCTTGTGTGCAAGACGATGAATACTCTTCAATGAAGGGAAGTCTTTTCTCAACTTTGCAATCAGTCCACTCTCTCTTCCTGTCATGCCTGATGCTCCATCTGTGGCAATGCTGATCAGGTGTGATTTTAAATATTAATTGTCCAAACCTGCTGTCAAAAGTGTGTTCTTAAGAGCTTGATACAATGCCTCTGCTGTGGTTCCCTTATCTAGCTCTACAAGAGCAAGGAAAATGTTTTCTATGTCCTCTCTGCCCGTTACATCTGCTCTCAAGCAGGGCCGTTTCTAGCCAATTTGACGCCCTAGGCGAAATCCCTATATTGCCCCCCCAATTATATATATATATATATATATAAAATTATTTTCAGACACCAGTTGCAATTTCTGATGTCGCCATTAATTAGAGATGCACCGAACTTTCGGCTGCCGAAAATGAGTTCACCGCTCAGGATTCACTGTCACGTGGTGTGACGCTCTGCGTATTATCTGCTCTATGCGTGCGCTCCGCTCAGTCGCTCCACTCGTATACCGTTCATGCTCATCAGAACAGCAAAGTCCACTCAAACATTGAGCCGACAGGAAACATGGATGTAGTGCAGTATTGTTTCTGTCTGCAGTAGCCCTACTGTGTTGTATCATGATGTGGTTTATGAGCAACTCTGGTAACGCTGGCCTCTCATTCATTGATCTGCTAACCGCTATGATATGCTCACGTGTTCTGATAATAATAGCTTTCTACGACTAAACATTATTTGGATAATTGGTAAAAAAAAAATAAATATCTAAACCCTA